GCAATTGGACACAGTCCAATCACAAGTCGCTGTTCCAAGGGACCCTACAAATGTCTCTAATCACACGGTGCTGTGATTGGGTGTGTCCAAATGCACCGTGTCCAAGTGCACCGCTCCCCGTTACGTATACTGTAGATGTTCACATGCGTATCTCATTCGTACATCATCAAGCATCGGGCCCCAGGAGTTCGTCTCACAAACAACAAATGGTAATGTATCATACTTAAAGTGTATTAATATTTTATTTTCTTTATTTTAAAAATTATGTATTGGGAGTACAAATTAGTTCGGTCCGTTTTCAAAAGATGGCTCTAGCTGTTATGAATGTTTCATAGTGACAGCTGATTTCAGTGATTTCAGAGAGGTTAGACATCTGTCAATAATATTCAATTTATATCGCTTTGAGTTTCATACAAAACCTCTGTTTTTTACTGTGTTGAATATATCAAATTTTGTGTTAACTAAGCAGCAGGGAGGTTTTAGTTTTCTGCTTTAATTGGAAGAAAAGTGCAGTTGAAGCGCAGTTGAAGCGCAGCTGAAGCGCAGTTTATGGTGACAATGCTCCAACTGATAAATCATGTAGGGAATGGTTTCGTCGTTTCAAGAATGGTGATTTCAGCGTTGAAGATAAACCTCTCTCTGGACAGCCAAAAAAAATTCGAAGACAAAGAATTGGAGGCATTACTCGATGAAGATCCGAGTCAAACGCAAGAGGAGCTTGCAGAATCATTGGGAGTTACGCAACAAGCAGTTTCCGTACGATTGAAATCCATGGGAATGATTCACATGTAAGGCAATTGGGCCTTATGAACTGAAACTGAGAGACGTTGAAAAGCGATTTTTCACTTGCGAACAGCTGATTCAAAGGCAAGAAAGGGTTCATAATACAAAGAAAGGGTTTTTTTTTACATCGGATTGTGGCTGGGGATGAGAAATGGATATTCTACGATATCCCTAAGAAGAAAAAATACTACGCTATGCCCGGTCAATCGTTGCTATCGACCTCAACATCAATACCAAAGCCGAATATTCATGGTTCGAAGGTCATGCTGTGTATCTGGTGGGACCAAAAGGGTGTTGTATACTATGAGCTGCTACAACCTGGCGATTCCATTACGGGCCATCGGTATAGGCTACAATTGATGGGAGCGGTGCACTTGGACACGGTGCATTTGGACACAGCCAATCACAGCACCGTGTGATTAGAGACATTTGTAGGGTCCCTTGGAACAGCGACTTGTGATTGGACTGTGTCCAATTGCCCCGTGTCCAACTGATATACACCCGATGAGGATCCGTGCCAAACGCAAGAACAGCTTGCTTCAGCATTAGGA